AGATAACAGAGTTGGGAGAGAGACAGATAAAGCAGATAAAGCAGCACACACCAATAAGGGACCAGCATTTGAAATGTAAGGACCATGCACTTATAATTGTATTGGCCAGGATATAGTAGGGAAAGGAAAAAACAGAAAGGTTTTGCCCTCATGATATACCTATTTGATATACCTAATATATCTATATCTATATTTATATCTATATGATATGCTTAGTATATCTAATCAAATACTCTTAACAAAATAGAATGTAAACCTACCATAAGGGCTTCCCAAGATGAGGAAACCAGGGAAGAAGCCCAAGACCATGCTAACATCAGGCGTAGAACTAACGACAAAAAGCTTTCGCTCGGCCTCAGAGTAAAGTGTGTCTTTAGGGGAGCAGAGGTCCCCACAAAGGGCCCACCACTGACACTCAGCAATGGTTCAAGAGGCAAGTAGACATTCTGTGATTAGACAAAAACAACAATCTGAGAGGCAGGAAAACACTAATTTCACTTTTACAGATGAATTGTAGAGGTACAGGCCGATTGAAGGACATCAACCCTTACCACACTAGGTAAAACCTACTGACCCTTGGATATGAAAGCCGCCTGCCTGAATATGAAGCCACCTGCTCTCTCTCTGATTCTTTGAGCTTTCTGACATAGTCACTGAATATTTACCACATCAAAACTCTGTGCTACACATGATGGGAAAATAAACAAGTACGTAAAACCTGGTTCCTATCATTGAGGTTACAACTCAGTATTTACATATCTATATGGCGTTATGGTATGGTAGTCCATTGCTTATTAAATTTAGAAGTTTGAAGTAATTTTTTTACTTCTCTATCTTTCAAATCAACCTTTCAAGGCCATTGTTACGATAGATATATCATATATTAATAGCCTTGTACACACCAAAACCTCAATAATCCGTAGTTTTTATTATGTGTTCATACACCTAACCTATGCCTACTTTTATTTTCTTCAAATAAAAGGAAGATATAAGAATTAGAGCAAGTCCATCAGTTAACTATTAGAATTTTAATTAATTATAACTTAGGACTTCAGAGACATATCACCCACTTATTCCAAAATGATTTCTATATAAATATAATTCCATAGGTACAGACTGGTGTGCAAACGGAGATAGTATTGTGGATTCCCCCATTAAAATTAAAAATAATGGGCTATCTCATTGTATTGTTTTTATAATTAAACAGTTAATGTAGTAAAAGTGCTTAGAACAGTGTTATCATCATTGTCGTCATCATTACCATCATTATTAAAATTATAATTATAGATAGAGTGAGCACAATTCTCAAGAAGCAATTTCATAGAGCCAAGAAGGAATATTCTTTTGCATGATTACTAACTTGACTGTGGTTAGTTATCTTACTTGATGACAATACTATGCCAATTTGTCCAAAGTCCAAGGTTAGATTTTCTGTGGGTTTGCTGGCTACATTCCATGACCTCAGATTAACACACTAATACTCTATTCAATGAATTCTCCTGGTTTTAACAAGGTGACTGTGATAAATGTAAATTCATAAATAACTTTAGGGGGGAAAAATCAATCTATAATTGCATTCCCACTGATCATACTTTGGTCATATGGTCTTTATATATTATAAATTCTAGGACTGTAAAATATTTAAAGATGATCTGGAGCCATATCATTGACTTTTGTAAAAAATAAAGACTCAGAGACAAAAAGTGACTTAAACAAGGTCACAAGATTACTTTGAGTCAGAGCTAGAACATTGAGCCCATGTTTTGTTGAGTTTTGTTTTATTTTTCAACTATCCTACATTCATTAAATATAGAATGTTTTTGTTAATCTCTGAGAAATTCCTATTCAAAAAATCTATTTCTGTAATAATAGTTTATTATTCTAGTATAAAGAACTCAGTCCTAATGACAGATGTGGGACTTGGTTATAAGAAAAATGGGAAGCTATGTTAAGGTATTGAGTGTGCTAATGTTAATCTTTATTAACATTAACTGACTTAAATTTTTAAAAGATCACTTTGCCTTTAAAATAGATGGTGGGGAGGAACAAGGATCACTTAGGAGGTTATTGCAATAACCCACATGAGAGACAATGGTGGCTTGGACCAGGATTGTAGCGACAATAAGTTGTTGAAGCCTGGATATGTTTTGACGGTAGCATCAACAGCAATTCCTTCTAAGTTGGATGTGATGCGTGAGAGAAAAGAGGTGTTATGGAGGCAAGGAAATATAAATCTTCATTCACAAAGTTCTAATTTTTTAAATTAACTGTCTCTTGCTGTAATCTTCACCATGATTTACTTATCTCTACCCCTTTGCAAAGAGGCTCATCACCATCTACACATTGTCCTCTTGTGAATCTGGAAGCAGCCAGAATCATACAATGCCAGAGAAACTGAACAATGGCTCCTGACCTCAAAGGAGTTTATCATTTGGTAAATGAAACCCCCTTTGAATAGGAGGGAGATATATTTGGACAGCATTACAAATGTAGCTAGAAGTTGCAACTTGATGTTACACCAGAGCGCTCTGAACATGTCCACTGAACTGAGGGAACCAAGCTCACTAACCGCCCATCAGAATGAGGGGCAGAGGAGCAGTTAGAATAAAATCCATCCCACAAGTAGAGGAGAATCAAGCATCTGAAGGGAAGGCCAATTCTAGGGATGGTGTAGTGTTACCACTTGACTTTGTCCCCTGCTCGGCTCCCTATGGATTCATATCTAGACTCATATCCATACCAGGGAAGGAATAGAGCTGTGAACAAAGAATGAAAAAGTCTGTTTCCCCCAAATCTTCTAAGATACGGGAGTAAAAGCCAATACCACTCTGGGAGGCCCTCATGGAATGCAGCCCAGAAAGGGAGAGAAGCACCGAGTGTAGCAGAACTTTGGCATCTCAAGGGCTCCATGCATCCCTGGCAGTAACCATTGGTGTGGGGAGCAGTGTCCTCAGAAACTCAGACTTCACTGTGTTGCTAGCTCCCTAGGATGTGTCAGTACAACCCAGCAGAGGTGGGCAGAGAAATAAGAAGAATAAGAGAAGTGGATACCACATGTAGTTGACTTCTTTATGCGCAAGCACATGTGAGACTTGGAAATATTCGTATGAGCTCAGTTGCATTATTAGCAGAAGGTAACTACATGACTATCCTTGTCCAGCTTTTAAAAAATAATGGTGAAATGAGTTCCTTATACTCCAATCACTCACTGCAGCATTTTGTATCATTATATTTCACAATTAAGCAGTCTGTATACCCGAAAGCTCACATATGTGCCACCTCTGTTCAAGGCCTCCAGAACCCAGGTAGATGGCCTCTTCAAGGATGTTGAGGATAATGAATGCTGCAAAGCAGACTATTGATATTTTGAAAATGGTAAGCATGAGAATTTTTTTAAAAACAAGCACCCTCATAAAAGCAGTCATTTTATAAAATCAATTAGAAAGACTGACTATCTGTAGGCCATCTGCCCTGGTATGTATATTAGGAGCTTTATTTCTTGTAAGACTTCAACCATGCTGCTTACATCCTTTTAACTCATTAAGGAAACAATGTTCCTTCTTTAAATGCCCCTGAAAAGACTTGCTCCCTTCAATGGCTCCACACACTGCATCACGTCAAAGCTGCCAAAATAACACTTCATGGCAGTGTGCCAATTTTACCCAAATTCAATAATTTTTCTTAATCTTGATTTATATTTTGACCTTGACTCCATACTTCCTCATGCTTAAAGAGTATTTTTTGTGACTTGGGTCATCTAGTTGTATTTCTGTCCTACCTTCTTCTAAAAGCCTTTGAAGTGTCCCATGCCTCTAGTTCCACATGACAGTGAGATTAGTCCCACTATTGTTACAGTCATTACCGTAAGTGCAAGAATGGAAGGGAAATGTCCAGTGAGGATGACCACACCACTTCTATGGATTTCCTAGACAAGAGGGTCAGTGGTTGAGATAGTTCAGCTGGGGAGATATGGTTGCACTCTCGCCGCAAGAGGAGGAACAGAGATCTGGAATGTGAGTGTGGCAGAGTAGACGATCAGTAAATGCTTTCATTTAAGTAAACTCAGTAGGTTCCTTGGGAAAACTTACCAGTTCCTTTATGAAATATTAGAAGATGGCAAATTTAACAAGATACTTGCTAGGTCAAAAACTCTATGAAAACTGCAGCAACACAGAAAGTCTATTCCCACACAAGCACATATGGTCTAGAAAAAAGAGCAGAGATCTTGGAACACACTACCTGCAATTCCAGAAATTGCACACTGAAAGCATCGCAATTAGCCATCCCATAAGCATCAGAAATGATATTACCAAGTTCCGAAGTTCAGCTACACATTTTCGTGTGCGTTTAGCCAACCCTTTAAATTCTAAACCTTAATCTATATTTCCATATTCACGGCTGACCCCCATCCACCAGTGCCTGTTAAGATGTCTGTGCTTACAAAGTATGAAGACGTTAAGTGTGTGTGCGTGTATGCGTGTATGCATGTGCATGGGTGTGTGCTGGGGAGAGGTGAAAGGGGTGGGAAGTAAATGAAAAGAATAATTCTCCAGGATAAAACAGCCTGGCAACAACTTCCCAGCCTTTTCCGAAATAGTCCTATCACCTGTCACCCAAGGCTCTGCCCCTGTCTACGGGGAAAGCAACAGCCCCACTTTCCATGAGATCAGGAGCTAATGCCCAGCCCGGCAGAGCACAGCGCAGCGCAGCCCCTTTGGAGCCCAGTTATGTGAGAGCGCGCGCGTGTGTGTGTGCGCGTGTGTGCGTGTGCGTGTGAGTGTGCGTGTGAGTGTGCGTGTGTGTGCGTGTGTGTGCATGTGTGTGTGCGTGTGCGTGTGAGTGTGCGTGTGTGAGTGTGCGTGTGAGTGTGCATGTGTGTGCGTGTGTGTGCGCGAGCGCGTGTGTGTGCATGCGTGTGCGTGCGCGTGTGTGCGTGTGTGTGAGAGTGTGTACGTGCGCGTGTGTGCGCACGCGTGCGTGTGTATGGGGGGGCGGCTTACCTCCCGATGAGTGAGAACTCGCCCAGGACGCCCAGGCGGCGCATGGCGCCCAGCAGGCCGCGCACGGTCATGCCCTCGCAGAAGCAGACCACGACGCGCGCCTTGGGCAGCCGCTCGCGGAGCTTGCGCAGCAGGCGGTCGAAGCTCTTCTCGCCGGCGTTGCTGTAGATTTTGTCCGAGTGCGCGATGCAGAGGCCTTCCTGCGCCGCCAGCTCCTTGAAGGCGTCCATCCCGCTCTCCCCGTAGTTCCCTGTCCGGAAACAACGGGCACATGTTCACGGCAGCCTGGCAGCGCCAGCGCCCCACCCGCACTAAGGGCGCACCGGTCACGGGGCGCGGGGGGCACAGGCGCGCCGCGTGACCTGCAGATACGACCCGGGCGGGAGGAGGATCTGGATGGATCGAGGAGAGAGATCAAAGGATCGAGGAAAAGAGCGAGACTCTAACTGGGGCGCCCGCGGTGGAACACGATCTGAGACACGAAGGGCCGCTGCCCTAGTTTGCAGCCGCGATGAGCAGAGGCTGCCCCAGT